AATAAATTGGAAAACTCTGAATATTCTATTCTCCTTTCCAGAGATTCACAATACATGTTAAACTATTGTAGGTGCTGAGAAGTCCTGCAGTGTGGACACCAACAATACCCAAAACTAATGCACATGATTTTTTTTTTCCAAAGAACAATGTTACAACATCTGTGTAACAGTCTGAAAAATCCTGACTGAGTAGCCATGGAGGTATAGGGGAAATATCTGTACCCCCAGGTGATTATATAAATTCCCCAAGGCAAGGGATTTTATCTTTGTTCCCTATTAGATCCTGGAACCTGTAACAGTGTTTGGTACACAGCAGACGTTTGATACATGTTTAATGAATGACTGAACGAATGAACAAGGCTGTGTCTGAATCCTGGCTTTACATTTAACTTCCTGTATGGCCTTGATCAAGTCCTCACACTGGGTTTCCATTTCCCTATATGTTAAAAAGGGATGAAGGCCGGGTATGGTGGCTCATCCCTGTAATCCCAATACTTTGGGAGGGTGAAGCAGGCGGATTGCTTGAGCTCAGGTGTGCGAGACCAGCCTGGACAACATGGCAAACCCCGGTCTCTACAAAAAACAAAAAAACCTGGGTGTGGTGGCATGTGCCTGTAGTTTAGTCCCAACTGCTTGGGAGGCTGAGGTGGGAGGATTGCTGGAGCCTGGGAGGCAGAGGTTGCAGTGAGCCAAGATTGTGCCACTGCACTCCAGCCTGGGCGACAGAGTGAGACCCTGTTTCAATCTGTCTCTCTCTCTGTCTTTCTCTCTCTCTCACACACACACACACACACACACACACACACACACACACACACGAGATGAGATAAAATTATGCATTCTCAATATTGTTAAGAATGTTGTTGAAGCCCCAACCCCCAGTACTTCAGTAGGACCCCCAAGAGGTGAAAATTCATCTTGGGAAGCAAAAAAAACATCTTACTCTTTATGTATAAAACACAGATATATATATATATGTTGTGTGCGTATATATATATGTTGTATATATTATACACACAGAGTTTGTACAGACATATATTACATACTTTATATTTGTGATACTAAAACTTCATGGGGTGGGGTCAGGTGTGGTGGCTCACACCTGTAATCCCAGCACTTTGGGAAACCAGGGTGGGAAGATCACTTGAGCCCAGGAGTTCAAGACCAGCCTGGGCAACATGATGAGACCCCGTCTCTAAAACAAAACTTCATGGGAGGAGGTGATTAGGAAAATAACGTCTAAAAGACTCTCTAGGGGGATGACAAGGAAAGACAAAAGCTTGGGAAACGCTAGACTTGGTGATCTAGAAGGGTCCTTGTTCTAGATCCAAATCTAGAAGGTCTGACGGTCTATGAATGTAACTCTGCAGGAGAGTGTTTGTGGGAATAGCGGAGGGAAGAGTGTTCTAGGAACAGGGAACAGCACAAGCTGAAAACCTCAGATGGGAATGAGCCTGGGTTATGGGCTGGACTGTGTGCCCATCTAGCAGCTGAAATAGCTCAGATGGGAGAGTGTTTGACCGAACTATGTCCCCCTAAAATTCATGTGTTGAAGTCCCAACCCCTAGTACCTCGGAATGTGACTGTATTTGAAGGTAAGGTGTTGAAAGAGGTGATGAAGTTTAAATGAGACCATTAGGGTGGGGCCCTAATCCGACAGGACTGGTGTCCTTATAAAAAGAGGAAGAGGCAGCTGGGATGCATGTGCATAGCAACAAGACCACATGCAGATACAGGAAGAGGCTGGGTATGGTGGCTCACACCTGTAATCCCAGCACTTTGGGGGACTGAGGCAGGCAGATCACCTGAGGTCAGGAGTTCGAGATCAACCTGGCCAACCTGGCAAAACCCTGTCTCTACTAAATATACAAAAATTAGCCAGGCGTGGTGGCACATGCCTGTAATTCCAGCTACTCGGGAGGTTGAAGCAGGAGAATCTCTTGAATCTGGGAGGTGGAGACTGTAATAAGCCATGATCTCACCACTGCACTCCAGCCTGGGCAACAGAGTGAGACTCTGTTTGTTGTTTTCTTGGCATGAGATGGGGAGCACGGGAGGACTTGAAGCAGGAGTGTGACAAGATCTGCCTTACATTTCTAGCAAGACCTCTCTGGGTGCTGGGCAGAGAGCAGATCACTCATGGGCAAAGACGAAAGCAGAGGGACCGTGAGAAGGAGAGAGAAGAGGGTGGCTGGGACCAGGATGGCAGCAGTGGGCATGGTGATGAGTGGGTTGGATTCTAGTACATATTAAGAGTAGAGCTAGTGGCTAGGCGCTGCGGCTCACGTCTGTAATCCCAGCACTTTGGGAGGCCGACGCAGGCAGATCACCTGAGGTCAGGAGTTCGAGACCAGCCTGGCCAACATGGTGAAACCCTGTCTCTACAAAAAAAACCCACAAAAATTAGCTGGGTGTGGTGCACACACCTGTAATCCCAGCTGCTTGGGAGGCTGAGGCAGGAGAATAACTTGAACCCGGGAGGCAGAGGTTGCGGTGAGCCGAGATCGCACCACTGCACTCCAGCCTGGGGACAAAGCAAGACTCCGTCTTTAAAAAAGGCCGGGCGCGGTGGCTCAAGCCTGTAATCCCAGCACTTTGGGAGGCCAAGGCGGGTGGATCACAAGGTCAGGAGATCGAGACTATCCTGGCTAACGTGGTGAAACCCCGTCTCTACTAAAAATACAAAAAAAAACTAGCCGGGCGTGGTGGCGGGCGCCTGTAGTCTCAGCTACTTGGGAGGCTGAGGCGGGAGAATGGCGTGAACCCGGGAGGCGGAGCTTGCAGTGAGCCGAGATCACGCCACTGCACTCCAGCCTGGGAGACACAGCGAGACTCCGTCTCAAAAAAAAAAAAAAAAAAAAAAAGTAGAGCTAGTAGGAATTGGAATTGCCAATGGATTAGAATGTGGAGGGATGAGAGAAAGAGAAGGGTTATGGATCATTCCAGATGTTTAGCCCGAACAACTTGAAAAGTGCAACTTCAGTTATGTTTGGTCTGGTTTTGTTTGAGATGTGTATTAGACACTCACATCGAGGTGTCAAGCAAGTAGTCAGATGTTCAGGGGCGGTCTGAGTAGAGATAGGCACAAGAAGGATCTGCCCCGTAACCCCATGCTTCCAACCCACAACCCCCGTCACAGAATATTTGCAAACAGGTCTGCACTTGTCTGCATTCATTCCCCATTAAACTGAGTGAGAGAAAAAAACTTTATGTGTCATGTTTACCATTGTACATCCCAGGCAAATGATCTGTTGAATAAATGGGATGATACAACAAGGAGTTAAAATTTACTGAGGCACAAATGTTCCTAAACATTCCCCTCCCCTTCCTGAGCCAAATAATGTTATCTTTTCCAGCAGACTGTTCAGGTCCCCACCCTTTCCTGTCCCTATCAGACTGATCAGGGACATTTGTGGGCAGAGGAAGATGGGCCAAGAGAGCCTGGAACAAGAGCTAGAGGGCTCATGAGAGAAGTTTAGACAATCTATAAAATGCAGAGCCAGGAGAAAGTAAGGAGGGGAGGAGAAAAGAGAGATAGAGAAGAGACCAATCCTACCACTCAGTCTGCACGTGGAACAGGGGTTTCTTTGTTTTATAGGCTTTCTTTGGAGCATGGAGGGTGTTACATGAGAGACTCCAGGGTACTGTGTGTGTGAGAGAGAATTGGGAAGAGACAAAAAAGGTATGAGAAGTTTTGCTAACGGAGAGGACTGACTCTCTCCATGAGTGGCTTTGAAAACCACAAGCTAGGAACAATTTATCAAGAAGACATAACAATCATAAATGTATGTACACCTAACAACAGAGCATCACAATTCCTGAAGGAAAAAAAAAAACAGAAATCAAAAATAGACAAAACTAAGGGAAGAAACAGATAAATCCAAATAACCAATAGCTCTTTCTATGTAATTCACTAAAATTGATTTTTTAAAAACAGCTGTGGTGAACTATGATTGTGTCATTATACTCCTGCCTGGGCGACAGAATGAGATCCTGTCTCAAAAAAAAAAAAAAAAAAAAAATCAGCAAGGATATAGAAAAATTGAATCAACACTGTTAACAAATTTGATCTGACATGTACGGAACATTGCACCCAACAACTGCAGAATAGAAATAGTTTTCAAGTGTACTACCAAGCCCATCAAAGATAGACCATGTGGCCAGGAGCAGTGGCTCAGGCCTATAATCCTAGCACTTTGGGAGGCTGAGGCAGGCAGATGTCCTGAGCTCAGGAGTTCGAGACAAGCTTGGGCAACATGGCAAACCCTGTCTCTACCAAAAGTACAAAAATTACAGGGCATGGTGGCACGCACCTGTAATCTCAGCTGCTTGTGGGGCTGAGGCAGCAGAATTGCTTGAACCTGGGAGGTCGAGGCTGCGGTGAGACAAGATTGCACCACTGCACTCCAGCCTAAGTGACAGAGTGAAACCTTGTCTCATTAAAAAAAAAACAAAAACAAAAACAAAAAATAAAATAAAAATAAAAAGACCATGTGCTGGGCCATAAAATAAGTCTTAATTCATTTCAGAAGACTTAAATCTTACAGAGTATGTTCTCCAACCACACTGGTCTTTAAAAGCACACCAATAACAATAAAACACCTAGAAAATCCTAAAGTATTTGGAATTTAAATAACATCCCTTTAAATAACCTATAGGTCAAAAGAAAAAAAAAATCACAAGTGAAACTAGAAAATATCAAACTGAACAATAATGAAAACACATCAAATTAATATTTATGGGAAGCAGCTAAAGCCATACTTGGAGGGAAATTTATAGCTAAATGACTGTACTGGGTCGGGGAAAGAGAGGCCTAAAATTAATGACCCAAAAGTCTGCCTTAAAAAAAAGCTAGAAAAACTAAGAACAAAGTAGGCCTGAAATAAATAAAAGAAAGGAAATACTGAAACCAAAGAGTAAAACTCAGTGGAATAATGATAGAGAAAACAAGGCTAAAAAACCGGTTCTTCGAAAAGATTAATAAAATTGAAAAGCACAGCTAATACCGGACTTTCTATTTTTTATTCGTTTGAGTTTTTTGTGCTGACTGTGCATGGACAGGTTCACATGGGTGCTGGGTTCACACGGGTTACAGGGGAAGGCAGAAGGAGAGAGCAGGCCACAGCCTCCAGAGCGCCTCCATTGCAGACAAGCACGCATGCGCTCCTCCGTGCCGCGCCCCTGCTCACTGCTGGATCCTGCGGATGCTCTGCACCTGGAAGGTCTGGGCGTGAGAGCCCCACTCCCGGAAATGCTTGTAGTCACCGGAATGGTGATCGCTTTCCAGCACATACTGAAATCCACGGTAGCCCGGAAACTGGGAGCAAACCCAACTGAAAAAGAGAAAAGGCAGACGGTTACTCTACAGAGACACCAGCAATGATGATCGACACAGGGGCAAAGGGATCTATGCACACGCACACAATTCTAGCCATCCTGGCCTTTCTTCAGTGCTCACAATGTGCCATGCTCTCTCCCCTACCACAGGGCCTTTGATCGTGCCATTCCCTTTGCCAGAAGCACCATGCCAGCCCGTCTTTTCCTAGACAAGTTGTATTTGTCCTTCATGGCTCAGCTTAATTATGAGGGCAATCTGACTCGTTCCCCAAATCAGGCCACAGTCCCTTATTATACCTTTGTAGCACTCATGTAATTCGACGGTTTTCAAATTATTTGTAAAATATCAGCCTCCCCTGCCAGCAGGTAAGCTCATGAGTGTAGGAACGTGTATGCTTTGTTCATCGTTATCTCCACCTGCCTAAATTTATAAAAGTCTAGCACAGAAGAAGGGGGTCCCTAAATATTTGCTGAATAAAAGAACAAGTGAAAGAATGGGAAGTCTTGTTCTTTCTCCATTCCCCCTCCTTCCTTATCCAGAGGCACTTCCAAGAAAAAAGCTATCACTTCAGTCCATTGATTTCTTTTCTTTCTTTCTTTCTTTCTTTCTTTCTTTCTTTCTTTCTTTCTTTCTTTCTTTCTTTCTTTCTTTCTTTCTTTCTTTTTTTGAGGCAGAGTCTCACTCTGTTACCCACACTGGAGTGCAGTGGGGCGACCTCGGCTCACTGCAACCTTTGCCTCCTGGGTTCAAGTAATTCTGCCTCATCCTAGTGACTGGGACTACAGGCATAGCCACCGGGCTAATTTTTTGTATTTTTAGTAGAGACGGGCTTTCACCATGTTGGCCAGGCTGGTCTCGAACTCCTGACCTCAGGTGATCCGCCCACCTCAGCTTCCCAAAGTGCTGGGATTACAGGCGTGAGCCACTGCGTCTGGCCCAATTCATTGCTTTCTACTCTGTTCAGGACAAGGATTGGTGTCTGGTTTTCCAAGCCTCCATTTCCCTTTCTGTAAAAGAGGAAGTGAACTCAAGAATCACAAGGGGTCCCTCTTACTCTAAAATAACATGATTCTTTGGTGGTTCCTGAGAAAACCAAAGCAAAAAAAAAAAAGGGGGCGCCGGGCACAGTGGCTCAAGCCTGTAATCCCAGCACTTTGGGAGGCCGAGACGGGCGGATCACGAGGTCAGGAGATCGAGACCATCCTGGCTAACACAGTGAAACCCCGTCTCTACTAAAAATACAAAAACTTATCCGGGCGAGGTGGCAGGCGCCTGTAGTCCCAGCTACTTGGGAGGCTGAGGCAGGAGAATGGCGTGAACCCGGGAGGCGGAGCTTGCAGTGAGCTGAGATCCGGCCACTGCACTCCAGCCTGGGTGACAGAGCGAGACTCTGTCTCAAAAAAAAAAAAAAAAGGGGGGGGGGGGAAGATGAAAAACCCTACCTCCCATCTTTGCCCCCTGCCTACCAGGAGCCAAGGGGCACCTCAGAAAGTGGCTCTGATGTCCTCCCTAAATAAGAATCTCACACCTTAGCCTTCACCTGCCACCTCCAGGGTGGAAAGGAAAGGACCAGTCAATGCTGAGTTTGAAGCTGGATTGTTACCTACCTGCTGATGGACTTTGAGCAGGTTGCTTTAGCCACACCTGTTTCTTTATGGCGGGGGCATTTATTCTCCCTTCTCCTGGCCATAGACCCTGTTGGCTCTGCTCTCAGCCAAGTTGAGAAAATGAGGCTGAATCTAGCAATGACCACGTGACCAAACCTAGCCAATCAGAACACCCCATTCCTGTGCACATGGTGATTGGTTCAGAGTTGAGCACAGGACCCAGCTGGACCAATGAGCACCTTTCTTGGAAACTTTAAGAGAGTCACTGAGACCGGACACTGTCTTTCCCTATGGCCGGATGTAAAGATGAAGCTCTTTACATTCTCGTCTAAGAATATAGCCACACACAGGCAGGCAGGGCAACAGGTGGGGGGTTGTGGAGGGGAGACAGATACCTGCTGTAGCACCTGGATCCAGTTGCGCTTGAAGCTAATTACAGGGGCCGATAAATATCTTTTGGGCTTAAAGCCAGTTTGATCTGCATTTCAATCCCTCAAATTCTGCCCGATACCTCTCTGTGCCTCAGTGTTCTCCTCTGGAATGTGGGCATCAGGGCACAAAAGTCCCCAACACACAGTTTTCACAGGAGGTACCACTACCCTTCCCAATATTCCCTCCCCTGCCAGGCAGAGACTTGGATACACTTACGCCCCAGAGTGGACATGGAAGGACCCTACTTCATTGCCTTCCCACCCCATGGCCTGGAGGGAAGGATAGTCATCGCTCAGCTCTCCTTTCTTGCCCAGGAAGTTCTCTTGCTCGAAGATTGTCAGCCTCGAGTCACGGTGGTTCTACAGGAACAGGAAACACAGTCAGACCACCAGGCTCCCAGTTGGAAACCCAGGAGCCTCTCCTGGCCTCCACACTCCCTGCCCTTGTCTCCCAAATCAACCTTCCTTGCAAACCTTTTGGAAGGGCAATAAGGCAACAGGTACCAGAAACCTTACCATTTGCCCTTCCAGAAATTTCCACAAAGAAAATAATCATGGAATAAATAGGCTGCAAGAATGTTCATCATTAACAGTTTTTTCAAAAACAAACAAACAAAAAGGAATCAACCTTTACGTCCGAAATTGGGGATCCAGTGGTAAGCTGAGGTATTACACTGTGGTTAAGAAAAAGGGTGTAGAGGCCGGGCATGGTGGCTCACGCCTATATTTCCAGCATTTTGGGAGGCCGAGGTGGGCGGATCACCTGAGGTCAGGAGTTCAAGACCAGCCAGACAAATATGGTGAAACCCTGTCTCTACTAAATACAGAAAATTAGTCAAGCGTGGTGGCGCATGCCTGTAATCTCAGCTACTTGGGAGACTGAGGCAGGAGAATCGCTTGAACCTGGGAGGCAGAAGTTGCAGTGAGCCAAGATTGTGATATTGCACTCCAGCCTGGACAACAAAAGCGAAAACTCCATCAAAAAGAAAGACAGACAGAGAGAGAGAGAGAGAGAGAGAGAGAGAGAAAGGAAGGGCAGAGATATCATCTCAAATCCTTCCTATCAGGAAGCAGCTGCCACTTACCAACTGATCGAGGTTAGACAGGATTTCTGAGCCTCTGTTCTTGTATCTATAACTAACCATACCCATTTTTCAGGGTTCTTTTGAGAACTAAATGAATTCAGAAGTTGGAAACTGCTGAGAATGAGGGATTGTATCTGTTGCAGCCCACCACGGGTCCCCATATTAGCACAATATCTAGACTGGTTGCAGAGTAAATGAACAAATGGACTTATGCACAAAACGGAATACTAGGGAGCTATGAAAAATGATGGAAGTGAGATTTAATCACCTAGACTGATGATTGTGATATATTTGCTCAGTGAGAAAAGCTAGTTTCCAAGCCTTAGACTCATTATGATTCCATTTTTGTGGCAAAATTATGTGTGCAATATAGATAAGATATATAGATTATATAGCTATAGATGTAGATGTTTATCTGGATGTGTATATACATAGAGACATAAATGTATAGGTTGAACATTCCTAACCTAAACATCCGAAATCCAAAATGCTCTAAAATCTAAAACTTTTTGAGTGACGACATGACACTCAAAGAATGCTCACTGGAGTATTTCAGATTTTGGGTTTTTGGATTCAGGCTGCTCAACCGTAGGTATTATAAATATTACAAAATCTGGGGAAAATATTCACAATCCAAAACACTTCTGGTCCCAAGCATTTCAGATAAGGGATAATCAATCCTGACCATACCAGGATTTTCCTTCAGAATTTTGGATGGTAAATATGGTGCCTTATGTCATTTTAAATTAATAAGAGTTGAAAAATAAAATACACTTTTTTTTTTTTTTGAGACAGAGGCTCACTCTGGTGCCCAGGCTGGAGTGCAGTGGTGCGATCTCAGCTCACTGCAACCTCCATCTCCTGGGTTCAAGTCATTCTCTTGCCTCAGCCTCCTGAGTAGCTGGGACTACGGGCATGTACCACCACGCCCAGCTAATTTTTTTGTATTTTTGGTAGAGACGGGGTTTCACCATGTTGGCCAGGCTGATCTTGAACTCCTGGCCTCAAGTGATCCACCCGCCTGGGCCTCCCAAAGTGCTGGGATTGTAGGTGTTAGCCACTGTGCCCGGCCTAAAATATACCTTTCTGAGCCTCAATTTTTTCATCGGTGAGATGGCAATAATAATGCTCACCTCCACCCACATTCCAAAAACAGCAATAAAATGTAAAATTAGGAGCATTGATATCGAATTAGGAGCAAGAAATGAAACCCTTCATCCTCACTGGGCCCTACCATCCCTGGTACCCAACTTCTCTCAGGGTCCCTGAATCACAAAAAAAAAAAAAAAAAAAAAAAAAAGGCACAAAGCTGGCAGGGGCTCCTGTCAAAACCAGGGCTGCTGTGAGCAGAGAGTTTAAGGTGGGCTCTGGCCAGATGCTATATGTTCTTCTTCCCAACAACATTGGTACTATTGCCCCATTTCAAGATGAAGAAACTGAGGCCAAGAGAGGAAAGAGACTAACAGCCCTTGTCACACAGCTTGAAGTGGTGACATGAGAATTTCAGCTCTGGGACATTTGATTCCCAAGTGCCCACGTGAGGGGCTCGGGCCTCCCCGGGACGCAGAAGTGGTAGAACTCACAGCACAGGCCACAGGCCGGAAGGAGGTGAGCCTCTCAGAGGGGTAGGCCGTGTTGCCACCCCAGGCATCCCAGCTCGGGTATTCGCCCCGTTCCAGAACGTACTGCTGCCCTTGGAATCCAGCATGCTCGAAGCCCACCCACCTGCAGACAGAGGGTAGAGCGTGCAGGAGGTAAGCGTCCCCTTCACCCTGCATTCTAGACCAGCAGATGGGTCTAGAATGGTCACAATCACAACCATTCAGGGGTGATTGTGCCCCCAGGAAACACTTGACAATGCCTGGAGACATTTTTGGTTGTCACGATTAGGAGAGGGGCTTGGAAGGCCATCTATCAGGTAGAGGCCAGGGATGCTGCTAAACATCCCATAATACACAGGCCAGCCTCCACTGCAAAGGATGATCCAGCCAGAAACATCAGTAGTGCCGAAGTTGAGGGACCCGGCTCTAGACCTGACTTGCTGTGTGTCCCATAGGTAGGGAAACTGCTTCACACAGGTGCCCTGACAACATTGCTCCTCTGTTGGTTTCCACAGAGGCCGCAGAGTCAAAGCTGATCACAGACTGACCTCACCTTGGTGGAATTCCCTGTGATCCTGCCAGGGTGTAGGAGACGGGCCGTTTTGTGAGGAGCTACTGCAAGGCCATCTCTTATATTCCTCCCTCTCTTGTGGGAGGCTTCCACGAGGCAGTTCCTCATCTGCCTGTCTGGCCACTCAGACGTGGGGCTTTCCACCTCACCGCCCCACAGGTGACAATAGCAAGCTATCGTTGAAGCGTGGAAGCAGTTCTTCAGCCACAGGGTTCCCACCATTCCTGCTGCCTGTCATTCGGCCCCCTTTGTTTTGGAGTCATCCCGTAGGACAAGGGACACAGGAAGCTGACACCGTGCGCACCTTGCCTTTGCTGTCTGTGTAAGTAATAAACTGTCTGAATCTATCCGAACTCATTATCTGCTTACTGGCTGAGTCTGTCAGCCTGCTGGACATACCCCTAGAAAGTCTCTGTTCCCATCTGACCCCCATTCCCCACCTGCACAAATCAGAAGCTAAAAGAGTATTTACTAAAGCATGAGATGTGTAAAAATCACCCAAGATGACCTCAGGTGGCACTCACAGGCATAGGATTAAGTGACTCCAAATCTCCTATCTACTTTCCAACCTTCTAGAACCTTCTATCCAATATGGTAACTACTGGCCACATCTCCTAGCTACTTTCCAACCTTCTAGAACCTTCTATCCAATATGGTTGCTACTGGCCACATCTCCTTTCTGTCTACTTTCCAACCTTCCAGAAATTTTTTCCAATATGGCAGCTACTGGTCACATCTCCTTTCTATTTACTTTCCAGCCTTCTAGAACCTTCTATCCAATATGGTAGCTACTGGCCACATCTTTCTAACTACTTTCCAACCTTCTAGAGCCTGCTATCCAATATGGTAGCTGCTGGCCATATCTCCTTTCTACTTGCTTTCCAACCTTCTACAACCTTCTATCTAATATGGTAGCTACTGGCCACATGTAGTTAATTAAATTTAAACTTAAATAAATTAAGATTAAATAAAACATTCCGTTTTCTAGTCATGCTGGCTACCTTTCAAAATCCTTAATGGTCACATCTGGCCAGTGGCCCTGAAATGGACGGTGCAGATGTAGAACATCTCCATCATTGCAGACAGGTCCACTGAATGGCACTGGTCTAGAAAGTCTTGGTGTGTTATTATTGTGTCCTTAACACCTCTCTACATCTCACAATCTCTCTCTCTCTCTCTCACTCTCTTTTTTGTTTTTTAATTTTGGTTTTTTGGGTTTTTTTTTGTTTGTTTGTTTTGTTTTGTTTTTTACAAAAAATGATCGGGCCACATGCTTGGCAACAAGACTGTTTAGCTAAAAATTAATAGCATTAAAACATTATATTCATTTTTATAGTTACCTTCTACTTTTGGTGAGTGATGTTGGCTTTCAATTTATGGCTAGGAGGGACATTTTTAGATCCAACCCTGGATTCTAAGGATCTTCTCCCGCAGAGCTGCCTCATCCAGTGGGCAGGGTCTGGGTAAATGATACCCTCCCACTGTTGGGCCGTGCACAACCTGCATAACCTTACATGGCAGTCCTGCACACTCCTCAGCGCTTCAAGAGGGCACACTAGGAAAAGAGGACCTAGAATAGCTAAAAGTCCTAGCACCCATCTCTAGGTCCCTTCCTGTCCACCCTCTACCCCAACTCAGTATCCCCCTAGACTCACGCTCCACTCAGCACTTTCAAAGATCGCACAGTCTCGAAGCCAAGCTCCAGCACACTGGGGCACTCGGCCGTGAATTCGTGCCGCCGGCCCTGGAAGCCGTCCTCATCCCACACCACCATCTGTGCCAGGAAAAAAAAAAAAAAAAAGAAGGTGGAGATCCGCATCAGAGTCCCATGGAGGGTGAGGGGTTGGGGGCTCACCCCAGGATCTGGCAGGTAAAGCAGGGATTGCAAACTCAGATGCCTCCAGGAGCCAGGCAGGCAAGGACAGTGAGGACTGTGAGACACTAGAGAGCACAGGTGCCAGGTAGATGGGTGGCCTCTTCCCAGTGCCACCAATGGTTGCCAAGTGGGAATGCAAGCCAGACCTTCCAATTTCTCAATACGATCCCTAGATCTGGACTTTTATGTGGTTCTTCTAGGCTTTTAAAGGCTGATGATAAATCCAAAAGCTTTATAAAACAAACACACACACACAGAGAGATGGTCAAAGAAATCATGCCCAAAGACTGCAATCTCTGCCAAAGAGTGTAACAGGTCAACTTTGGGAACCAGAAGACCCAAGTTCACATTCGACCTCCCTGTATGTGACATACAAGTCCCTTCTCGACTCTGAGTCTTGATTGCACCTCTGTGAAATAGGCATTTATAATACCCTCCTCCTAGGATTCGTGGGGACTTGAACCCTCCCCACACCTCCTGGACACGCCCTCCCCATGCCTCTTCCTACCTTCCAGTGTCCCGCTGACTTGGTGCATTGCAGGGTCATCGTGGCCCCTTCCTACAGAAGAGAAGAACATCATAATAGTCCACCCTGTCCCTCTGCTGTCCTCTTTATGTAGATGGCTGGCTTAGACCTGGTCAGGATCCACATGGGGAGTCTAGGAGTGACTGGGCTAGGGGCAATGCATGGCTTTGGCCTGTCCCTCTCCTGTCCTTTCCATCTGTCACCAGTGCCATCTTCCATCCTATCCCCATCTCAAAACTCACCCTTGCTGGGTCTCATTGACTCTAAGCCCCACTCTGTATTCTCTTATCTGCTTGTTATGGGAAAATTTCTGTGGCTGTTGGTGGGTAGGTACATCACCCCAGCAAGTGCTAAAATGACAGTCCTTCCAAAGACAACGCCTAGCTCAAAGAAGTAGCTCTAATGGTGGAAATTTAGGCAACAGGGCTACAGGAATAATTTTGTTTTTAAATGAGGGAAGCAGGTGCTGGTCTTGATGGTTGGGGCTCATCATTGGTTAGGGTGAGGATGGCATTCAGGATGACACAGTGACATCCCTAGGACTGGGGACCTGGGTTCCTCAATTCCCAGGATGCTCACTCAGAACTCTGATCCCATCCCTCCTCCAAACCTGGGACTTACCGAGATAGGCCCAGGGAACATGTCAGATCTGAGACCAGCCGAGGTCAGGCTCTTATAGGCAGGGAGGGAAGAGGGGCCCCTGGGAGACAAAGCCCTGACTCAGCAACTGGGCCACAGAAACAAAAGCCAGCCCTGGCTGAAGAGCCAATGGCAAGCTGTCAGCAGCTCTGGCTTTAGCAGGGAGGGAATGGACCAGATCACCACCCCCAGGGATCAGCCACCAAGAAGCAGAGAGGTGGAATATTGGCCCTCATTAGCCCCGCAAGGTTCCTGACTAGACCAGGAGAATGAACACTAGACGAGGAGTCCAGAAGCATCCTTCCTAGCTATGTGAGCTTGAGCAAGTCATTTCCCCTCAATTTCTGCCTATAAAATGCAGCAGAAACAAACTATATCACAGAGTTGTTGTGAGGTTACATAACACACCTGGCACAGAGTAAACATTCAGGAAATGTCTATTCCTTTCCTCCTCTCATTCCCCTTTCTCTTCCAGTTGAAGCAATCAGGATAGGCTGCCTGTTGGAGGAGGCATTTGAACTAGACTCTGAAGGATGAAGAAGATATGTACAGAGTTAGACAGAAGCAGAGGCATTCTAAGAAAAGTTCAGAGGTGGGAACTTGGGGCATGTGTACAAGAAAGAGCTGGTAGCCCAATTGGCCTGGAGCTCAGGGGACCTGAAGGGAAGTGAGGCAGGAGAAGAGGTCTAGGCCAGGGCCTGCCAAGTCCACAAAGCCCGAAGATGAATCCAGATGGCTCTGTGGGCAGCATAAAGGAGCTGTTAGTTGCAAACATGCTTTGCAAACTGTAGCACACTTGCCAAATATCCAGGACTTGTACAATTTGCTGTGTGCCTCTTGTCCCTAAACCCTGCCCTCTGAATTGGCCTATGAGGGGCCTCTTACAGCATAGGAAAAGAGCATGACTGGAAACCAGATCATCTGAGATGAAATCCAGCCCTGCTGCTTTTACCATCTGGGTAACCTGGAGGATATCTGAGTCCTGCTCATGACCTGTAAAGTGGCCACACCAGTTTCCTTTTAAGAAGGTGAAATGCAGCTCTATCAAATGCATGACTTTGGGCCAGGCGTGGTGGCTCATGCCTGTAATCCCAGCACTTGGGGAAGTCAAGGTGGGTGGATCACCTGAGGTCAGGAGTTCAAGACCAGGCTGGCCAACATGGTGAAACCCCGTCTCTACTAAAAATACAAAAATTAGCTGGGAGCAGTGGCAGGTGCCTGTAATCCCAGCTACTAGGGAGGCTGAGGCAGGCGAATTACCTGAACCTGGGAGGCAGGGGTTGCAGTGAGCCAAGATCACACCATTGCACTCGAGCCTGGGTGACAGAGCAAGACTCCGTCTCAAAAAAAAAAAAAAAAAAAAAAAAAAAAAAAAAGGAATGCATGACTTTGACAAAGTGTTGGCATGAAAATTAAAGGTTAAGAATGCAACCTCTACAGCCAAACTGCCTGGGTTTGCATCCCACTCTTGCTGGCTGGGTAACTTTAGGCATGTTACTTAATCTCTCTGAGTCTCAGTTTACTTGTGTATCAAATGGGTGTAACAAGATAAGTTACGGCTAGCCTAAGAGACAGGGGTATTGTGAGGATAAATGTGAACTGCATGTGAACAGCAGCTGGAATTGCTCCTGCAACATAAAAAATTACCGTATTTCCATCATCTTCATCATCATCATTGCTAATAATAAAGATGATTACTATTAATTATTGATCAAAAAAGCAGGAGTACATAGGTTTTAAGAGCCTGGGTTCATGAGTAAAGAAGATGTGAGTTCCAAGTTCATTTTGCATTTCCATTTTTATGAGAAAGTGAGCTGAGAGAGAGGAAGGAAAGGGAGTTGCTTCAGTTTCCTTATCTGTAATTGGGGTTAGTCCTAAAACTTCATCCGTATACTGAGGAGTATAAGAAAATGCAAAAAAAAAAAAAAAAAAAGAAAAAAAGAAAAGAAAAGAAATTGGCTCCATAAGACAGGGCAAAAAAGAAAAAGATATAATGAAGGATACAATAATAATAATAATGATAAATGGTCTGAGTGGAGCCACCAGCATGGTGAGCCATCCCCCTTCTCTGCCCCCACCCTCTGGCAGACAGCCCATTCCTGGCGGGGGTTTGGGGGGGGGCACAGAACTGCCCCAGATGACCTGGCTTTGAAGCCTAGACTGGTGGGTGGCCCCCACCACAGGCATCTTGGCCCCAGTTCCAGTGGCTACCCCATCTTGCAGTTCCTGCCCACACCCCACCCACCAAGTCTTGGCCCAGGATGAAAGGCCAAGGAGGGGCTGGGAAGCGAGGGGGTGCTGGGTGGGTGGAGCGACAGAGGCAAAGCTGGCTCCAGGCCAGGGAGAGCTCAAGACAGAGCTGGGTTCCGTGGGGAGCCCAGACCCCCAAAGAAGAGGCAGGAGCCTATCCAGAAGTCCCCTCCATACATCCTGCCTGGGACTGGGGAGTCGACTGCAGATGACCTAGCTGAGCAGCTCCCCAGGCTCCCTCTGACCCCAGCTCTAGTGTGAGTTCCCAACGTGTGACTGCTGAAGTCACTTGTTCCACTTGGGCCTCGGTTTCTCCATTTGTGAAATGAGAGGATTGAGCCCTGTGATTTCTGGTGTCTGTTCCGCCATCCTGAGGCTTGATTGCCCCACCTTGACCTCTGTCTCTCCGTCTCTCGCTCCTTCACTGTCCAAGTCCCTTGCGCCACTGTGTCTCCGTCTCCACCTCTCTTTGTTACTTCTCTCTATCTGCCTCCCTACTTCTCTCTCTTTGCTTTGGTTTCCCTATCTCCCCTGTACCCTACCTTTTGTTCCAATCCATCAGAACCACCATTTAGTCACCAGCTATTGACTGAGAACCCACTATGTGCTAAGCCCTACCTAGCCAGGCCCAGCTAGGTGCTGGGGCCAGTGGTGAACAAGATGTGGTGGGCATCTGGGGCTTCCCAGGGCAGGAGGCTCTGAGACAGGCAGTCATATTCCTGACCACCAGCACCGTCCCCCGGGTAAGATAACGTGGCCTGGGTAGAGGAAGGGAAGGGGTGTGGCAGGAGGGGTCACTATTGATAAGTCAGGAAAGGATGGGGTCCAATGTGTGTAAAAGGAAGAGACCCAGGTCTCCAATATCCAACCCAGCTGAGCACAGTGAGACTCGCCCATTCCCACCCCTACCTACAAAGAGGAAGTTAGGCCAGGGGGGCCTCAGGCCAAGGTCAAGGCTGGACGGCAGGAGAAGGAAGCACACAGGCCCAGAGCCGGCTGGCCTGTACTGTCGCTGACCTCTCTGTGCCTTTGCTTTCCTCTTCTGTGAAATGGGCATAATGAAAGTACCAAATAAGGCAGATTGTCCTGGGGACTGACCGAGATAGCATGGGTTCAGCCTACAGTAAGCACTCTGTAAAAAACGCTGTCCATATCAAACCCACATCTGCCTTTACAAAATGCTTCTATGCTCGTTGTCACCATCTTTTCTGTGCAGCATCCAATAGGGACACGTGCCCACCTTATAACTGCAGACACAGAGGTCCCCCTAGGGGTAGAGACCTACCAAAAGCCACACAGTGTATAGTGGCTGAGTCAGGATTCAAACTCTGGTCTCCTGCCTCCCAGGGTCTTCCCTTTTCCCTGCCCCATGTTGGCAGCCAGCAGGGACCCTTTTGGGGACCCATTCCCTGGCTGGGGTTATCGAGAGAGGAGTCAGGGTAGGGTTGGAAGGTGAAGCTGCTGTGGCCAGGGTTTCTGCTGTGTGTGCTGGTCTCACAAAGGAAAGTGCTGCTGTCTGCAGTGATCCAGGCGAGGTCGGGGCCCCAGTCCCCCACTCCCTGCCCGGGTCTGCTGAGCCAGCTTCCCCTTTGTGCCACAGACTATAGGGCCTGATGTCTGCCAGACTATAAAATGGGGGGTCGGCCTCTAGTCACCCATAGCACCTGCCTGCCTGCCTGTCCTCCAGCAGGAAGTAGCAAGTCCCCAGGTAAGAGGGAACCCACAGCACAGCTGAGAGCTGAAGGGGAGGGGAAGAGAAAAGGGAGGCAGAGAGAGGGAGGCAGAGATAGCAGTGCCATGAGAGTCAGAGAGGCAGGGCCGCGGAAATAAAGACAGAGAGAAGTGGAGAGAGGAAGAAAGGGACGGAGAAGGGGGGCGGGAGAGAGAGAGAAATAAACAGAGAGAGAAGTAAAGATAATTAAAAAGAACAGATAAAGAGATAAGCAAAGATACAATGAGGGTGAGATAGTGGGGGAGAGAGGAACAGAGGGAGAGAGAGGAACAGACAGGAAGATAGGCAGAAAGAGGGAGCGAAGTAAGAAACAGATAGAGAGGCAGAGAGGGAGGAGAGGAGGAACAGAGGGAAAGGGTGAAGTGGGGAGAGAGAGAGAATGAGAACATCTCCAGGAAGGCGTGAGTCCAGC